GAAGGGCTATGTGATAGGTGAGTGAGGGAGTTATGCATGTGTGCGTGTCACACCAATCACAGTGTGGGTTGTATCAAAGAACGAATCAAATTGCCTGTTTGAAAATAAGATGGTATCTACATTAATCTGGAGACGTGTCAGATTACTGTAGTTTGTTCAGTCAAACATTTTATGGCGTACTATTTAGTTATCTTACCATTACCGATGTAACATTGTATGTACATTATAAATTTCCAGTTTCTTTCTTGCTTTACATCACAACCAAAAACACATGTCAAATTAAACAAATCATTACTGTAAACAGACTTTTAGTTTAGATAAAAATAACTCATGCACAACTTGCGTGCCTATGTTTATTTTTTGGTCAACACCCATTTTATCTCTTTGAAGATTTGTTACGGTGGTGATGTACCAGTGTCATATTACTGTAAAGAAAATTACAAGGTGGACAGTTTAACAGAAGAAAGTTACCAAGTGGGATGTGTCAAGCGAGGAACTGCACTGAAACTCAGCTTTGAAGTTGAATCAGCTGGGAGTGTGCTCAGGTAGGTCTTGTATGATATTTACTCTAATAAAGAGAAAAGTACACTGGAACCGATTATACCTTTGGTCCAAGTTTTGAAGCCTGTCTTTTATCACAAGATCGTCGCTCCAGAAAATGACCTGGGATGAACAGGTAAAGATGTTCTCAACAGGCTTGTGCATGAGAGGAAAGGGAGGAAAAGAGGGCCTTTTCCAGTCCACTTCCAACCTAACCCACAGGAAGAGCACTGGTTTACTTGGAGCTTTTGAGGCACCTACAAACTATCATTGTTGGAGGTTCATACAACTCAGTATCCTGTGTTACAGTCACTGTCTCTGAAAGAAACAACTTTGGGAAGACAGCTGACTAATAGTTTGGGCAAGTTGATTGCCTCAAAAGAATGCTTTAGGTTGAAACCAAAACAGTCATTGCATTGCTCACGTAGTCACCTGCTTAGTCAGTGGCCCAAATTGAAATCATTTTTGAGTATTTAAATCAGTTTTGGTGTGTCACATACTCAACTAGAGCATGCTTGTCTCCCCTTATAGCTGGCAGTACAGATCTCTAGACCATGACATTGGATTTGGTGTTTTCTTCACTGAAAAGGACAAGACTGG